TGTACTGGAGAATATACTGGAGAATGTACTGGAGAATATACTGCAGAAGAGAATATACTGGAGAAGAGAATATACTGGAGAATGTACTGGAGAATATACTGGAGAATGTACTGGAGAATGTAGTGGAGAAGAGAATATACTGGAGAAGAGAATGTACTGGAGAAGAGAATGTACTGGAGAATTTACTGGAGAAGAGAATGGAGAATGTACTGGAGAATATACTGGAGAATGTACTGGAGAAGAGAATATTCTGGAGAAGAGAATGTACTGGAGAATATACTGGAGAATATATTAGAGAAGAGAATATACTGGAGAATATACTGGAGAATGTACTGGAGAATGTACTGGAGAATGTACTGGAGAAGAGAATATACTGGAGAAGAGAATGTACTGGAGAAGAGAATGTACTGGAGAATATACTGGACAATATACTGGTGAAGAGAATGTACTGGAGAAGAGAATATTCTGGAGAATATACTGTCTGTGTACAACCCAGCAGGAGACAGATTTTCCACAGCAGGTGCAGCCTTGGGCACAGAGATGTGTCCCAGCTCCTTCATTAAGCTCCTCAAGCCAAACTTTTCCTSTTGCCCTCAGAAAACTCATCACCATCAACCGCAGGGGTTTTCTGCTAAAATCTTACAGGTTCCTTTTCCTGCTCCTGCTTCCAAACCACAGCTCCTGAGTCAGTTCAGAGCATCAAACAGGGGAAAGGAAGAGGAAAAGCTCAGTGTCCCTCAGCAGGCACAAATGCCCCCATCCAGTGCCAAATGCCTTCCTTTTGAGCAGAGATAAAATATCTACTGATCCCCTAAATGAGTTTTTCCCCCCCGGAATCCACAGTGGGGAATTGCAGTTCTGCTCAGTCACCTCTCCTGCAGATCCGCTCCTCCTGAGATGTTCATTCCTGCACCAAACTCACAAATGTTAATACCACAGACTCCTGTGAGCCCAAAATGCTCAATTCCATCACCAGAACTGTCATTTGTGTCACTCAAACCCCTGGCTCTGCCCTTGGAACCAGGGCTGAATTCCAAACCCACACACAATTTGAGTTCCTCTTTTGATCAGCTGGTAAAAAAGAGAAATGGGACAATGTGTAGTCATCAGGTGCTAATGTCAGACATAAAAAAGCTCAGTTTTTCTTTGAAATTAATGTTAAATTCTCCAATAAAAGAGTTTTCTCTTTCTGCTCTTCAGAAATAAAGTCACCGGTGCAAATGGCACACCCAGTTCCAGTTTGATTCCGAGATGAGCCCACTGATAGTGGAAGCGTTCAGGATCTCTAATTAATGTTATAGAAAACTGTACTTAATTACTTCTTAAGCACTTACATCTGCATAAAGTTGCATTACACTGAATGCATCATCATTTAAATCCATTACCTACACATAAATATGCATCAAATTTGCATTGCAAATGTCTTCATTCTCTGCCTTGTTAATCACAAATGTCATGTCTAAATTACTCCAAAATGTGCAATTCTGGCTTTCTCRCCAAATAGTTCCATATTAAACAAAATATATATTATAGGACAAAAATACAATAAAATAGGAGGTGGAGTTCCTCAGGGTAGCAGAAATTATTACCAAAGTCACCAGAGTGACATCTGCCACGACAGACTTCATAACACAACAACAACAACAAAAAAAATACATGATTTGATGCTAGAAAACCTATTTACAACTGTTTTCTTCAATWTTCCCTCTAGAATTAGCAAGTGCTGATTTGACTGCTCGAGTGATGAGCTGGAGACATCAAACCTGTTTGGYGGTGCCTCGAAAATTCCCACTGTGAGATGTGATTTGGTTGCCCCCGATGCAAATGCACACCAGTTAATGCAGGTAATGAATTACCGTGCAGCACGGCGCCGACTCATCTGAGCTCATCTGRAGCCGAGTTAATAAAAGGCTTGTTTAATTAAATGCAGCTTTCCGTGTTTTCTTTTAAATGGAACAGTCGGATGAATAGGCAGAGACATCGCTCTGCCCAACTCGAGCAGTTATTGCACCAGGAACAGGCACAGAAAGGGTGAAGCTGAACCTCTGTGCCATGAAATTATCCCTGAAATCTGCCATCCATCTTTACTGCTGGGTAAAGAGCCAGAAAAACCAGACGTGGACACGCTCAAAAACAGATTCCAGGTTTTTCAGCTGGGAATAAAAAAAGGCCCAGCTGCAAATGCTGTTGGGCTGTGCAGGACAGACAGACAGACAGACAGACAGGATCAGGCTGCTCGGGCTGCATTCCCCACCCAGCCTGGCAAGGTGTGGGTGTGCTGGGAGCTCTGGCTGCTCCCCAGGGCAGCTGAGGATTGTCTGGGCATTCCCTGCCCGTTCAGGTCTATTTTACATTAGCACTGTTCTCCCAAGAGCACAGACACATGCTGTGCCCTGGGTTTGAGACAGGAGCTGCCTGAGGAGCAGGAGAAGCCAGGCAAGGTGAGAGGGGGCAAAGAGGAAAGCCAGCACTCTCAGGGCAGATTTTGGGGAGGTGATGACAGATCTGACAGTCCATGAGCTGTATTCTGTGCTCAGAGGAGATGAGGAGGGTACAGCAGCTCCACAACCCATGGACAATCCCAGGGGTCTTGCTGTAGTGGCACAAACATCTCAGGATCRCTGCAGCTCCTCTGTTCAACTCCACGTTTCTCCTGGAGTGGTCTCTCCTCACACAGACTCTGCTCCAGAGGG